AAACTTAATAAAATGTGTTATTAGCCTAAGTTACATGTAGGATTTTTTTAAAAAAAGAACTTCTTGTTTTCAGGAGATAAGTATTTTATGAATACAGTCAACTACAGCAACTAAATACAAAGGGAAATTAAATGCTGTGGTTTGAGTACTGAGTTGCTTTCTGATATTGGAAGAATTAGAAAGGGTTATTTGAGAAGTGGTGTTCTGGAATACACTACAGACACAGTACAGAAAGCCCAATAAAGGACATAAAACTCCTTCCTTTATTGTAATATATAGAAATTTAGGAGTGGAGGGAAGCACATGTTCATTTTAGAGCAAACAAAACTGACTGTGTGATCTGGAGGCAGTTGTGAGTCTTAACAAGCTGGGTAATTTAGGGAGTGAGTGGGAGCTGAAGGGTGCAGGGTTCCAGGGGAGGGTTTGTAGGGGAATAAATGTTTGTGTAGTATCTCAGTTGGTGCACGTGAACAGTAAAATCCCTTTCACCTCTACAGGCTGCAGAAATACCAGTAAAGAAGTGGCAGGAAAAGGCAGTGCTAGGCATGGAGTGCCATAAAAGTGGCTTTGTCACTGGGAACAGTGCATTCTGCTGTTCTGGGGGCAAATGGCAAAACTGGAGCAGAGGGACAGACCTGTGAACAATCCAACAGAGGTTGTTTTCTGTGGCAGGGTGGTCAGAATTTCAGAGCATGGTCTGGCTTAGATTTTTGCTCTTAAACAATTCCCAGAATTTGCTGTAATGAAGTGTCACTGACAGCTCTCCTGTTTGCTTTTGTTTCCTCCTCATTTTCTCCTCTCTGACAGTGTCTTAAGCTCTCTTTGACCTCAGCTTCCTCCTTTTCTGGTTCTTACTTGCAGGCTGTGTTAGCTGCAGGGTATCAGTGGGTTTTGGATCAGTCCCTTGGGTTCTCTTTCAGAATTAGTGCAGTGCCTGCTGTGACAGATGAATCCTCTGATGTTTGCCTGCCCTGACCATTGGGGAAATGAGCTGATGAGTACAAAACAGTATGAGCAGCACCAGAGGATTTCCTGGCCCCTCTCCCTGGAGGGTACAAAGAGCACTTGGTGGCAAGGATGGGTTTTCCATTGTCTGTTTGTGTGTGGTCCCACTGCTGTTCTCTGCTCTCTGCTTCAAGGGCGGGTGGGAAGTGGATGAGTAACATTTTCTCCTGGATTGCAGACCCTGACACCTGAACTGGTCTTAGTTTTCCAGGATCACTGCACTTTTTACTTCTATTTTCACTTACATTTTACCCTTTTAGAATGTTTGAGCTTTGTTTAACACTTGGAAAACCACGGGCATCAACGTGATTGTGTAGGGTGCTTTGGAGGAGAAAAAAATTAATTGCAAGACTTCAGAGGCATAAAAGCAAAGAGCTAAGGATTGGAGCACGGCTTTTGTTTTGTCTAAGCAGTGTTTGGGAGGTACCATCCTCTTGTCAAATCCCACTTTGGGGCTGTGGAGAACTTAAATACCTAGGGAATGCCAGGGCTTAGTTACAAATCCTTTCTAAGACTGCTTTTCTTTTATATAAGCAGATGGAAACTGGTTTCAGGGGAGGGAACTTCTTAAGTTTTGAAGTCCTGAAGAAAATTAATTAATTCATGTATTTGAAAGCCAGAGGGGAAGTATTATGATCATCTTGTCTGACCTCCTTCATAACTTGGGCCAGGGGAAGTCTCCTAATAACCCCTACATGAGCTCACTGAAGCGTGGTGGAAAAGAAAAATGATTTGACAGAAATATTTGTTTCACAGGCATGTGGGGGAGGCGAGTGGAGCTTGGGACTAATTTCCCTGTGCATAAAGAGTCCAACCTGTGTTAATCCTCACTGCAAAGTGAATTTACAGAAATATTTCTTTGCTAAGGCTTTAGGTTTTGTGCTGGCGTAGGAGTAATAGAGAACAGAGGCTTAAGAACTTCTCCTGGAATTAAGAGCCAGTTAATTCCAGAATGCACTGATTGTGTTCCTGCTGTAGCCACTTAATAAGGCCACAGAAAATGTCAGTATTTTGTTAAAACGAAGAGCTCAGAATCCTCTTTAGGAAAAGCTGAGGCATGCACATAACATTGCAATAGCTGGAGCAGTAACGAGGCACACAAGGAGATTGTTAGAGTGGATGGATACGTGTAAGATGATGGATTTTGATTTTTTTTTTTTTTAATGTTTTGGGAAAGCAGCTAACAAAATTCTGTCTTGAGAGAGGGGAGAGGAAATGTGGCAGAGCTGATCAAAGCAAATAGCATCTCATTGATAAAACACATGCTGCAGTACTTCCCACAGTTGGGAGGCTGTGGTATTTAACAACGGTGACCTAGATTGGAGGAGACAATGAAAGCTGCTGTGGTGAGGAGCAGATTGACTGCCATTCTCATCTGGGTAATAAACGGCTGAAATATGGACAGTGCATCAAAGTTTACTAATGTGGCTTACATAAAGACCTATACTTCTGGAGGAATTGTCTCTGTAGCAAATTCGGTTTGAACTATAGCTGGTGTCTGACAGATGTTTATGTGCTCCTTTACAAAGATACCTATTACTTTATTCAAGGATCTATGAGCCTGCGAGAGTATGACCTGATTAGGTTTGAAAGTAAATCAATATGTGAACCTGTCCAAAAACAGACATGCATTTATTTTAAAAAATATTACTCAGTGGGATAGCCTCGAGGGGATATAGCTTTTCTGGAGAGTTTCAAATGAGATAGCAGTCATATGTTGTTACTTTAAAATATTCAGTGCCATTCCGATGCTACTATTTCAGCTGTCCTGTTGGAAATAGCTGACAACAGGAGATGACATTCCTGATGCTTTGTAGCCACAATGGTCTTCTAAGACATTAAAACTTGCTTAACTATGGACCCCGGGGGTATTTGGTATTTATTTTTAATTTATTTTTTAATAAGTGGACCTATTATAAATATTTCCCTTTTGTGAAGTGGCTCATGTTAGTGCTCCTTGTAGAGTTATGTAGTTAACCTTTAGGTAAATATAAATCCAAATTCTCGAAAAATAAACTGTCAATCCAGCTGTGACTCGAGAGATGCTTTAAGTAAGTGCCATTGAGCTGTAAAGGCTGATGCATCCCTACTGTGCTGTAAAACTAAATATTATTAAATTGGGTTGCACGCAGGGGGAGGGGAAGGGGATGGGGGTTGTGAGGGACATCTGTTGTGCACAGAGCTCCTCTCCCTGCTCGTGGGGGGATTTGAAGCCTGGGAGGAGGGTGAGGATGTTCCCCCAGCACTGCTCCAGGCAGCCGTGCCCGGGGACAGGCATCTCCTCCCTGTGCATGGCCCTGCCCAGGGAGCGCTTGGATCCTGGAATCCTCATCCGGGAGCTGCTGCTCCTTTTCCCTCTCTGACCAGCCTTCATTGCTTTGTCCTTTCCTACTCTTCCCTCGGCCGAGATTCATCGAGATGCTGTTGGTTTATTCTGTTACACCAGGCAGGTGTGTTCAGCCAGCGCTGCACCTTCAATCCGTGCCTCGCTTAATTTTTTTCCTCCTTTCGTCTGCCGTGCGGCGCTTGTTCAGATTCCACAGAGGGGGGAACAGGGAATTTTGTATTTCAAAATCAGTTCAGCAGATTTTGAAAAGCTATCTTTGAATATTCTATAATACACAGACAGATTTGAAGAGCTTATTAAAGAAAGCCCCTGACACACTTCAGCAATATTAAATCACTTCAGACGGTGCATGGCAGTGTAATGTTACTGAAGCATTTTAAAATGTTAAAAGAGCTTGGATTTGAAAGTACTGGTGGCTTCACAGCCTTTACTGTGAAAAGTGATTTAAAGTGTCAAAATTATTCTAGTGTTTGCAGTCTGTTACTTTCTTAAATGACAAAGAAGGGACATTAGTAAACAACTCTAACTGCATTTAATCTCTGGCCATCTAACCAGCTGATATGCTAGGTTAATATCTTTATTAAATGCTTATTTAATAAGCGGGCAGCTGTTCTGACAGGCCAGATGGACTTCTCTGTAATTGTGCTAATAATGAGAACTTTCTCACGAAAAGAAAGGGCAGTAAGAAGATGCATTTGGTGGGGGAACATCCTGACAAATGGCTTCAGGACAGTCTGGTCCTCTGCCCTGACAGGCTGGCTCTAGTAAGTGGTTCATCCCTCAAAGCAGGAAGGACCAGCAGTGAGAATTGGAGCAATGGGTTCTTTTGTTTTTTTTTTTTGCTTAGATGTTTATTCTTCGTGTATTCTTTGCCTCCAGAGCCCCAGTTCTGCCTCCCTCATCCTGCTCCAGCACATTCCTGCTGTGGGTTCACAGCTGGTGCATTTTTGTCCCCAGCAAATCCACATTATGTAAAGCTGTAACTTTCTCCCGAAATGCTATCTTTTTGCACCTATCCCATTTATATTTCATGGGTTTAATTAACTATTTTCAGAGTTCTTTGCAAGAAAGATTACTAGATGAGTGTTAAAATTACAGCTTTGTTTGCGTGGAGACAGAGTCTTTTATACTGGGAACATTATCATAAGCAAGAGGAGTGGCAAAGTATGATGTTCTCAGCATGAGCAATGAATACATTTTTCATTTGTCTTTGTTCAAGTAACAGAATGAAAGCACTGAAAGAGAACTTGGAGGAGCAAAAATCTGTACTTACTATCTGGCAATATGGAATTGGTGGATTTAAAAATTGAGTCCTTGCAGATTTTTTTTTGCTTTTGGTGACATTTCCAGCTACTTCCTGCACTGTGGTCTTTGTCCTCCAGCTGCTGGTCCAGAAGTGTTGGTCTTCTGTACACCCTGAGCAGTGTCTCTAGGCTGTGGAGGCATCTCAGATATGCCAAAGCACCTCAAATATAGATGTTGGAAGTAGTCACAGATAACTGTGTTTAAGCATCTAAAATCGTGGACAGTTGGCTCAGTAGATGGAGAACTTTATATGTTCCTCCCTCGCAATGGTTTGGCTTTTTATTTTCCTTTCATGTTTTAAACCCAGAAAATGACTGTTGCTTTTTGTTTCTTTCCTTAACAGCACTCGAAAGGAGTGAATGAGATGAACTGTTTGGGTTGTAGTATCTGAAAGGCTAAATTATTCTCTTGGAGAGACGTTCTAAATGAGCCTGACCGAGATCCTGGATCTGTGTGAAGAGGACTAAGGATATAGGATGTCAACTGAGACAGAACTTCAAGTGGCTGTTAAAACCAGCACAAAGAAAGACTCCAAAAAGAAAGGTAGTGACTCATTTCTCTTTATTTGTGTGTGTTTTTTACTTTAATCAGCTCCTACATCAGCCACCTTTGGCACATCTGTGGCTCTTCTGTTATCTGTGTGCTCTGTGAAAGTGGAATTTGTTAAGCTCAGTGGAAGTCTGGTGCAGAAATACGGGGTTTGATTCTCTGACATAAAAAGATATATCCTTTTGAAATATGTCTGAAATGTGAGAAAAGAATTGCATATTATTTATGGTTCATGAAGAAAAATAAGTTTTTTAAATTACTCAACAAAAGATCAGTTCTCTTTTTCTCTTCTGATAAACACAATTTCTTCTAATGGCTTTTTTTCTGCTTTGTTCTGAGCTAATCAGAGCTCAAATGCACTTTCTGTTCCTGGAGTTTCAATTTTACTGAGACTTTGTGAAGTTAGAGAGCTCAGTAGCAATCTGTGGAGAGATTAATTGTAATCTGGTATATGGAAATACAAAAGAGGAGGAAGAAAACTCAAAATTAAGGGGAAGCTATGGAGAAATGCATGGTTGGATTAGTTCATATTTGTATTTACAATTTTGCCTCAGACTGTAGAGCAGTTATTTGGAATGGTAAGTGTGAGAAATGGGACCATATGAATTTGGTGCTTATGCTGCTTAAAGATTTTTAGTACATTTAGTACATTTTTATTAGTATTTTTATTACGGTTTTAGTATTATTTTTATGGTTTTAAATACTGATGAACTGATGAACTCAAGACCTTGAATTTCTAGTGGTAGTTGTTGTTGTTCTGTGTAGCCATATTTGGTTATTTTTTAAACCTACACATGAAATTGTGATTGAAAACAGATTTAATATGAATTACTCGAATAAAAAAGTAAAACAAAAAGAAAACAATCATACTTAATATTTTAATACTCGACACAGCGAGATTTGAGCTTTCATGTGAGCTCTGGAGTTTGTCATTCTGTTGCTTTCTGTGGATGTGTAATTTAGCCGTTTACTTCTGAGGAGTTGTCTTCATTTTTCTAAGACAAAGATTATCTTTGCTTATATATGCATAATGCAAATTTTACTCATTTACTCAGTTAACTTGAACTGCTGGGCAGCAATACCATTTATTGCAGCAATTCTATCAAAACATTTACTAAGGTCTTGTGTTCCCCTTGGCTTTTGTATCAGAAATCTTTATCCTAGAGTTTGTAGAAGACACAGCAATTAAAAAATTTCAAGTGTTTGTTCATGAAGATGTTTTAAACCTTATGACTGCTCTAGGCCTACACTCAAAAATCAAAAATGATTCATTTAAGATTAAAAAGCTGCAGTTTGGAAAGGCAAGGAAAGGGGAACTTTGATGTAAATGAGAATGTGATCTAAGATGTTTAAGGCAAATAAAGTTAAAGTGGTTTGGTTGTACGATCATTCAGTTTTTGGGGGCAGGCAGGAAATTAAAAAATGTCATTTCTTTGCAATATGGATAATATCTTTTTGATGTGTGTCTCCTATGTTATTTCTTATGCTGGAGGCTGAAACTTTTGAAACCAGCAAACAACTCTTTTAGGAACTTGGCGTTTATGTTAATAAAAAATACCGCATCCAATTTGTAAAAACGTTTCCATAAATCACAATAACTGAACGCTTATCTGCCCAAAATCTGATTCTATCCCCCAGATGGAAATTCTGAGAATTACCTTCATTGCTGGGGGGGGGGAGTATAAACCCCGTTGTGTGGCAGTGATGTGTCTGGAGAGCTGGAAGGGACAGGAATGGCAGTGGCACATCCCCAGGGTTATTGTGGCTCAGTGCTGTCTGTGCAGTCTGAGTGCATCCCACCCCATCAGCCATCCCAGGGCTGGAGCAGTGAATGCTCCACACAGACAAGGTACACAATGCACGCACTGTTTGCTATTCAAATCCCACAGAAGCAGAGTCAAAAGAAACTTGGTGTGCTCATTTACTTGTCATTGAGTTGTATGCACTTGCTGTGTTCCAACAAAGGAGCCCTCCTCTGTATAGTGGGGGTGATGGACACGTGAAAAACGGGGATTTTTTTTTTCCTTTTTTTTCCCCAAGTTCATTAACTGCAAGCAGTGGCAGGTAGCAAGTGCTAACATGAAGTTTCTAATGTTGCTAATCAATGGGTTTGATTATACAATGGAGCTGAGTATTCCCAAGAAATAAGTCTTTGCTGTGTAAACAGGAATTTCAGCTCTAGTGTTTTTCCAGTGTTTTGTTGCACTTCTGGGAGAGCCGTGCATCCTTCTCCATCCTGAGCAGGGCCAGGCCTCTTTTGCTGTTATTATCCACTGGGTTTGGTAGCTCTCCTGCCTTCTGCAGCTCACAGCACTGCATGGAATGTCTGTTCCACATTTATCTCCCACTCTGGAGGTCTGGGGTGACTGACAGGGGATGAGGATTAGTGTGGAGTTGGAGCACGGGACGAGGTTCTTTCCTGGTCTCAGCCTAAATCTTCTGTGTAGAGTCAGCCAAATCTTTAGTTCTCTTCACCTGCATAAACATCCAGTAAGGTGGTGTTTCTTGTTTGGAGTGTTGAAATAAAACAAAGCTGAATTCCTAGGATTTGTAAGGTGTTTGGGTATAAAATTACAGTATAAAGTGTCAGATAAATGTGAGCAGCTCTTCTTACTGCTGTACAGTGGCCAAAAGGAAAGCAAAGACTTAAACTTTTTGTGCAAATAATTCCTACCTTGAGTTAAAACCACTGTGATGTCATTAGTTAACAATTTAATAACCTGGAAAGGTTAGAAAAAAAGTCCAGGAGGAGTCTAATGATATTTAGTGAGTGTGAATGCAAAGTCTTGTTGCTGGGATGGACTAAATCTGTGCCAGAAGGGTGGAATGTGTGGTTGAAGTTCCTTTAGGATTTCATATAGCTGCTTTTATGTTCTTTAAAAAGTGAATAAAAATTGCGTGTTTGTATCATTCAGGATAGGAAATTAGAATTTTTTATTAGCCAGAGTTGTTAGAAACATAAACCATGTTTGTCTTGTAGTACATGGGGGAAAAGCCTTGTTATAAGTGTGTATAGATTATTGAATCAAATTGAAAACATTTACTTGAGTCTATTGGAATTAAAATTGATTTATAAACCTCTCTGGGGGAAATGTGTTGCATTGATGTTGAATTCACACTGATAACTGCCTGGGAAAATTCCTTCTTGCAAAATTAGCTGAACAGAAAAATTGAAATGGGAGGTCAGTAAAGAAGTGAACCAGGCTACCAAGTTTCAGTGCAGATGGGTCTGCTTAGGGTAGGCCTAAGGGGACTTTTCTAGAGATTCCATCTCTTCCTCTTGCACTTAAATTCTGTAATTTTTCTATTTGAAGCTTAGGGCTTGTTCTGCAGTTCCATCTCTCATTGTATCCCCGATCATAAGACTCCTGAGTCAATTTTCAGAATGACAGAGACGTAAAAAATTGAGGCAAATTCAGAGAGGAGCTTGGGCACGTTGACACTCAGCATGATGAGGGTGGATGCTCAGGGGACCTTGGGTGAGATTCCCTTGTTCCATGGGTTTCCAGAGCTGTGGGGAGCAGCTCCCAGAGCAGGCAGGGAGCCAAGCAGGGATTGCTGCACCCGGCCAGTCGGAATGGGACATTTGCAGAGGGTGAGATGTGCTCTGCTGGAGCTGGAGGTGCTTTCCTGGCCTGGAGCTGGGCTCTGTGTCCGGGCTGGATGGATAGCCAGGTGCCCAGGATGGATGGATAGCCAGGTGCCCAGGCTGGGCTCCTCCAGGCTGGATGGATATCCAGGTAGCCAGGTGCCCAGGCTGGATGGATATCCAGGTGCCTAGGCTGTGCTCCATGTAATGTCCAGGATGGATGGATAGCCAGGTGTCCAGGCTGGGTGGATAGCCAGGTGCCCAGGATGGATGGATATCCAGGTGCCCAGGATGGATGGATAGCCAGGTGCCCAGGATGGATGGATAGCCAGGTGCCCAGGCTGGGCTCCTCCAGGCTGGATGGATACCCAGGTGCCCAGGATGGATGGATACCCAGGTGCCCAGGCTGTGCTCCAGGAGGTGTCCAGGCTGGATGGATAGCCAGGTAGCCAGGTGCCCAGGCTGGATGGATACCCAGGTGCCCAGGCTGGATGGATATCCAGGTGCCCAGGATGGATGGATAGCCAGGTGCCCAGGCTGTGCTCCAGGAGGGGCAGCTGGTTCATGCCAGGTGAGGAGTTCACACCAGGGCAGTTTGTGTGTCAGTGCTGGCTGCAGGTGAGAGAGCTGAGTCTGAACCTCTTGGGATCACAATGGCAAAAAGCTTAATTGTCCCCTTTTCTCTCTTGACTGCTGATTAAAAGGAAAGCAGTGGCTGCAGGACCATTCACGTGGATTGGGCCTGTGGCAGAGTCACATCTATTTCCTGGGTCTTTTAAGCACTAATGAGAGGCTGGGGTCTGTCTAACTGTCTAAAAGAAAACCTTTGCATCCCCAGGAGCAAAACTCTAGTCAGACTGAGATCAAACAGGAGCTACCTAGTTAGTCTAAAAGCCTTTGGGGATAGGAAGCCTTTAAACGAGATTCTGTTTTGTCATTGTCAGTTTTCATCATAGGTGCTAATCTACCCCAGTCCTCTTTTGGGCTTCTTACACCTCATTTGAATCCAGTCTTTGCACTAATCATTGCTAAACTTGAGAGTGGAATGTGGGTTTCTGATGTAAAAGTTACAATTTTGCTGACACACAGAAATGTTGGTGCAGTTTTTGCAGCTACGTTTCCAGGTTAGAACTTCAGTTTGGATTAATAAGTGCTATGAACATTGTTGGTGGATTACTTTTCAAAGAAATTAACTTTTTATTTTTTTAAAACCTTGTTATCAACTACCAACAATTAAAGCATCATCACTGTAATGAGGCATTTCAAGATGTCACATTGGTATAGGTTCGTTTATTTTTCTGATTATATAGCTAAGATTCATGGAATCCAGCAAAATTTAAATTTGATCTAAAGAGCAATGAACAGAGAATCTTCTTTCATTGACTGGGAGTGGATTTGCTTTGTT